GCGGTGGGGGACCTCCAGCAGGGGATCTGCCAATCCTAATTTTTATGCAGATTCTTAACTGAATTTCCAGCCAGGTTCAATGTAGAGAAAGGGGAGAGAACATGCATTGTGTATGTCCGAATGTAATTATTGCTTGTGGGGAGATGGTCAGAATCCTTTTGCAAATATTTTCTCTTTTTGTCCAATTCTACTTCCTTCATCTCTCTTCAGGCTAATTCTATATATGTATATACATTGCATATTTTCTCATCAATTTGTTACAAATAAAGATCATTGGCTCCACTGAAAAAGAAAGTGTTTGAGTTGACATTAATGCTATGAAAGTTCAGTTTGTAGCTATTAATTTCTGTTGGCTAATTCAAGCAAGCAAGCCATAATTTGAGGCTACAGTCATTGAGTGATAAGTATGCATATACACCAGCCATTCCCTGTAAACCAGTCTGTATGACCTCTGACCTACTCAAGTATACAAATCACCTTGCTGTAAAGTCAGCCCTGGCCATTAATACGCATCGAGGTCTAAATTGTATTCCCTTTCTAAGAATTTGAAAGACCATTTGGTTTACAGTAGCAAAGGCTCACTAGACTCAGGTAAACCAAGAGCAGGCATCACTCCATGGAGTATTCACAGCATCTGGAGCACAGCAGGTGTTTAGCTCCTATAATGCTGTGGCCTTAGGCTGATTCATATGTTACAATTCCAGGCATGAGGTGATAATAGCAAAATGATTTTTGTGGCTTGCTGGAATTATAACCAATGAAATGGCCCTGAATACTCAGCTTATGGTAATGCTGTGAGGATGTGATGGGGTGCATGGAAATTCATTTGGCTTTTCATTAACTTGCTAAGTTTTTAAATTAAAAGTTTGTCAGAAAGTTTTAGTCCCAGATACATGAAATCATGTTAAATCATATCTGAAGACATAAAATACTCTCTCAGTGCAATTTTTAAAGGAACATAAGGATACTGAAAATACAATCTTTAGCTTATCTAGAAAGTGGCCAAAGGTTTCCCAATAAGGCTTTTCCTAGCAATTGTGATTGTAGTTGCTGGAGAAATATAAAGGTCAGCTTAGTCAGTGTATTACTGAAGCTGATCCTTTATGTGATAGGAGCTGGGGTTGCTTATTTTCTTTCCCCCCTATTGAATATTGTTGCCCTTCCTACAGACTCCCCAAAGTTGATGTATGTATGTTACAATGTTCCTTCTGCAATTTTTTTGTTTGTTTTTTTGGCCCCCCCGGAGGGGATTTTTTATTGCATTTTTAATAGACTACAAACTACAACGAAAAATTGGGAAGGGGTAACTACATCTAGGGAGAAAGGAAAGAAAACCATTACTAGTATTACTTTGCTATTACTTTGAACATAGTTGGTTATGCTAAATTATTTATCTTTTTATCCATTGATTTAACTGTTTAAGAGAACCCACAGAGCATCCCATAATAAAACTAAAGTTTTAAGGCACAATTCAGAGTCCTTCAGCCTTCATTTTGTTTTATCTTTTCTAATCCTCAATTTATATGCACATTTAGGGGCAGCCGCCCCCTTATCGGAAACAGAGTCCTCGTCGGAAGACACCGAGTCCAATTCGCCACTGGATTTGCTGTCATATTCTTCCTTCTCAACCTCGGCTGTCTCTCCCAACTGCAATCTCAGGAACTCATGTGCTTTAGGGACAGAGTCAATCTTTTCTTTTTTGTCGTGTAGTTTGAAAATTACGTCTTCTGGAATTAACCATCTGTAGGCAATGCTGTTTGTTTGTAGAAAAAGGATTAGGTCTTTATATTTCTTTCTCTTTTGCCTTATTTCAAATGGGATGTCTTTTAGAATCCTGATGATGTTGTTCCCGATTTTCAAAGGTGTTCCTGTAGTTGCTTTCAGGATAGAATCCCTCACATGCCTCTTTGAGAATCTGACCACTATTTCCCCAGGCAGATTATTCTTCTTAATGTACACGGAATAGGACCTATAGACCACATCCATTTCGTTTGCAAGATATTCCGCTTTCAAATCTGTAACTGGGGCTAAAGCTTCACTCAAGAGTTGCTTCAGATTCTCGCCTTTTAATTCTGGGACCCCTTGAAACCGGAGGACCAAATTTGCTTTCTCCATTTGCAGCTGTAAAAGTTGTGATTCTTCCGAAGCTTGTTTCTTTTCCAGCTTTTGCACCTTTTTCTTAACTTTTTTAGTGTTGGTGTCCATTTCCTTCACCTTCTCAGCCGTTTGCTCCATTATTTTTAAAGTCTCAGTCAGTTGGAGCTGCTGAGTTGCAAGGTTCTGATTTAAAGTTGTCAGCTGTTTGATGTTGGTCATCTGGTCCAGCAGAGGGCACAAGGAATCTGCCAACATTTTGGAGAACTCATTGACCTCTTCCGGTCGAGGGCTCATGTTCCCCGCTGGTTTCGCTTTTGCTAGTTTGTCTTTCTCTGCCCTCTTCCCCGCCATCTTTATGGATTGTTTACTTTTGTGAAAACTTGCTAAAGTCTCTGAAATTCGCCCATACGCTTATCCGCACTCTGGTAAGTCTCTCAAAACAGATTTCAATGCTTTTTCTTCTGCTCCCCCCTTGGTATATCGTATTTCAGTTCATGTGCATGGGAGGGGCCCCTCCCTCCCCCACTCACTTTTCTCGCTGTTCCGGGGGGGTAGCTTTCTTTTTAAATTCTCGTCTTTGCTTTAACCCGACTCACTGTTCATTGTTGGTCATATGACCTCACTTGGAACACGTTTAAAAAGCTCGATCTCCGACGTTTGTCCCGGTCAGCGGCTCTAGATCCATACGGACACTCAGCAGCAGGACCGTTAGGGCGGAGGAGCGCCTCAATTCCCCAGCATTGCGCTGGCGAAGAGGTCACCCCTCAAAAGCCCCATGGCTAGGAGCCTTTTGCCAAGGCTCTGGGGAGGTGGCGACCCGTGCCCCCCCATCCGCTGGTGCGCAGATCACATCCCCGGGAGGTCTGGGAGATGCGCCGCCAGCGTGTCGCCATAAACCTTCTGCAATTTTTTATGGTAAAGGTGAAATTCTTAAATAATACTCATGACACGTGATGTTTTTATGTATTAATATGTGGGAGAATGATACAAAACAGACAATTTGAGGTACACAGAAGATTTATTAAATGTCAGAAACATCCACAATCTGTTCCTACATTCTTAGTATACTAGGCTGTCTCCACAAGAGGACAGGATTTTGTGGTTTCACAGTTGCTGGTGTGGCTGCAGATAAAGGACAACTGCAACAGGGCTTCCATGTAGCAGGTTTTCCTGCAGTTTCACTCCCCCAGTTCGCCAGCAGCAGCTATACTCTTCCCCTGGGCCACCAGGGCTTTTGCATTTTTTTTAAAAAAGCACTAAAATATCATTATAGCAAGATACCATGGTAACAACAGGTGTAGCAGAGTCTCTTAAATTCCCTGTTTTCATTTTTTTAAAATTACATTATCTGCAATATCTAAATTGTACATACACAAAGAATATACTACAATCATCTATTTCATAGTTGTCAGTCAAAACTTACTTGCATAAAACTTTCTTGTATGTACCCTAGATTTTTCGCTTCTGTTTAACTTTGTTCTATCTTTGCCTCATTACTTCATATCTGACTATTTTTTTTACAAATCTGTTTTGCCCGACTCATTTTTTCTGTACAATCTTAACATAATTAAGGACAGCAGTTTTTAAATCCAGGATTACTTTAATAAAACAAGAATAGTGATTTCCTTCTCTTTAGTTCATCATATTTATTATTTTCAGTTGCTTTGTTGGAAGGTTTTGATTCTGATAGAAGATCAAGGGAAGTCTTCTCTCTTTTCAGACGGTTATATGGAATCGAGATGTGTTTGAACTCAGATCAAACCTTCACATATACAATATGTGAAGATAGTTTGACATGTTTTATCCAGCCTTTCCAAGGAAATAATCTGACATAATCTATATTCAAACAGTTCAGCTCACCTTTAGAATATATAAGTGGGGACCTGCAAGAAACTTGTGGGGAGGGGGCATCCCTTCCTGCTCTTGCTTCCTTTCCTCTTCTTCCTTCTCTAACAATCTTCCCCCTCTTTCTCTCCCTTCCCTTATCTGTCAGCCTACCCCCATCTCTATCAGTCTAACCCCCTTCTGTTAACCTACTGGGGACATGAATGGACGTGGCAACCGTAGTGTCTCAGGAAAAGAAACACACACACTCCGGTGAAGATCTTGGTCTATATATGTTTGAGGATATGAATAAATTGTGACAGTGTATGAATGGAACAGTGTAAGAGCCCCCAACCCCTATAATTCAGTGAGGGTTTTGTTTTTGAGTGAGGGTCTGTTATTACAGGGGGTTGGGATTATCCTGTCTGCTGCTGAGTGATAGAGTTACCAGCTCTGTGTTGGGAAATACTTGGAGATTTGGTGGGTGGAGCCTTTGGAGGGTGGTGTTTGGGAAGGGGAGGAACCTCAGCAGGGTATAATACAATAGAGTCTACTCTCCAGAGCAGGGGACTTTCCAGGGGAACTGATCTTGGTTGGCTGGAGATCACTTGTAATAGCAGATCTCCAGTTGCCACCTGTAGGTTGGTAGCCCTAGTTTGTGTGAGAGAGGACCTGATGTGTGAAATGGGCACGGCTGTCTATATATCTTAAAAGAGACAAGAAGGGTGCAGAATATGACATCGTGACCTACATGTAAGCTAGAACTTGAGAAAGAGAGGCTGTTGAGTGTGGTAGGCACTCTGTATGAGTAGAGAAGGGGCAAAATAAATTGGGTTAATGTCCAGTTGTGTGAGGCATGTTTTATCTGGATATGAAGTCCTGCATACCTTTTATAGATCTGATGGTTTAGCAGTGTTTCCTGTGTTGAGGATTGCAATGAATTTACAAACAAATGATACCTTAGTTTTTGCCGATGAGATGTAAGGGGTATTGTTTAGTGTGTGTGTGTGTGGGGGGGGTTATTCACTTAAACAAAGTACTTTTTAATTAAGAAGATTTTTAAAAATATTCCCTGGCAGCGGAAATTCTTGAATTGGCTGGAAATGCAGCACGGGACAACAAAAAGGGTCGTGTCACTCCTAGACATATCCTGTTGGCTGTAGCAAATGATGAAGAGTTAAATCAGGTAAGGTGCTAGAATTTCCTTTAGGGTTTTTAAAAAATTCTTTCATAAATTTAAATTTGTAATTCAGGACCTTTGAAAAGGTTTGTAGTTGGCCCAGCTTAATTACAGGAATGGAAATGTATCTAGAACTGTTACAGCTTAAAACTACCATGTAACCAATGTTGCTTTGTAAGGAACTAAGAAATTAAAGCAAAGCATTTCCGTGGCTTCAGTCACAAGGACCTTCCAGTTTTAAAAGTGCTTTTTTGTCTTATTTGTATTTAAGCTGTTGAAAGGTGTCACCATAGCTAGTGGTGGTGTATTACCGAACATTCATCCAGAGTTGCTGGCAAAGAAGCGAGGATCAAAAGGAAAACTGGAAGCTATCATCACTCCACCCCCAGCTAAAAAAGCAAAATCTCCTTCACAGAAGAAAATCACAGCAAAGAAAACAGGTAGCAAGAAAGGAGCAAGAAAATCAAAGGTATTCTGATATTTAATATTCAGTGCTTATGTCATGACCCCAGGGGAGTTGCCACCTTCCACTGCCACCACTCTGGACTTCGGGTCCCTTGAGAAGGCCCAAAGTACCCTCCCAAACCCATCCAAAATGCCCCCTTTTAAGCCAAGAACATAGGCATGATGACCAGGCAGAGAACAATTAAACAAATGGTTTATTAACACAGTACTGGGGCAAGGAAAACAAGACAAGGTGCTTTAAAATATATAACAGTGTTTAAAGGAAAAATAAATGAATATAATGTGACTACCTAGTTCACTTAACTGGTTACTACTTCAAGGCCCACAGCCTGCCAGGCCTTCTGCCTGTACTCACTGTCCCAAGTGAGGGATCTTTCTCTCAGACGAGTCCCCTCAGTTTAGCTCTGTGTGAGGTCAGACCACAGAAGAGCAAAGAACCCAGTTTCACAGTTCAGAAAGCTTAAGATCCATTCCCTCACACAGTCTCTGTACACTGATTGGCTACAACTGTTGCTAAGCAGATATTAGGCTGTCTACTTTCCACTCCCACACTGGTCTCTCCTGGGACCAGGACACACTAGGCCTTGTTCCCAGTCCTGCACAGATCATGACAGCTTATATGAAGGGAACCTGCAAGGATTTGCAGGTGTCACTTCATTTTCCCCCATATCCCCTTCCTACACACTATATTCTATTTCTCTTGCCCTGGCAGCCTCCATATCCCCTTCCCTTTTCCTGCTTCCTTCTCTCTTTCCCACTCATCAGCCTGCCCTGATTCCCTTGTCTTTAGCTTTACTTATTATTTATTTAATTCATTCATAATCTGCCTGTCTTCACAGTGGGCAACCAAACACCTTTTATCATTCTCCTCCCTTTTATCCTCACAACAACTTCGTTAAGTAAGTTACACTGAGAGTGAGTGACTGGCCCAGGGACAGCTATTCATGGCAGATTGGGGATTCAAACCTGGGTCTCCCAGATCCTAGTCTGATATTCTTGCCACTGCACCACACTGGCTTTCGTGTGGTAGCTGTTGTCAAATAGTGGTGAATCATCAGGTGGTCATCACTAGGCCTTGGTGAGTTATGCAGGTTTTCCCATTGTGAATCATCTAGTAGGTGCTGCCAGGCCTGGGTCCAATGAGTCGTCCTTTCAGGGCAGGGGGAAGGGGAGGTCTGTGAGGCCAAAACAGTCCTGAAAAAGTCTCTACCCCCTACCCCTGCTTTTTACTGACAGAAACCAAAGCTTGAAGGCTAGCAATATTGTTGTGGTTGCCTAAGAACACTCACAATAGCTTTCTTAAAGCTACAGATGCTGCTTCTGTAATTGGAATATCCCCCCCCCCCCAGTGGATTTTTTCCAGCCTTTTCTGCAATCCTGGGGCTTTTCTGTGGGCTGTAGAAAGATCTGTATTGTCTGTTCATGGTTCTCATCTCTAGATTTAAGTATCCATAGATGGAGCCATGCTGAAAATGTATATTGATTTATATGTTTCTTAATTCTGTTTTATTTGAAGAAAGCTTATCTGTCCCCAGAAAATAATATAAGCTACCCTCTGAGAAGGGGAAGTGACATGGTATATCCTGTTCTTGTCAGATCTCAGAAGCTAAGCAGGGTTGGTACTTGGAAGGGAGACCACCAAGGAAGACTCTGCAGAGGAAGGCAATGACAAACCACCTGTGCTTCTCACTTGCCTTGAAAGCCCCTTGCTGGGATCGCCATCAGTCAGCTGTGACTTGATGGCACTTTATATGCACACACCTTTGAAGGAGGGCAGTGCACCATATACTGCATACCCCTGTGTTTTTCCATAGAAATCAAGGTCAGCACTCGAGGCTTTAGTACTCACATATCAATGCCTATTCAGTCATTCTCCCTGGTTTCTGTTCATTAGCAAAATCTTTGTGTAGGAGGAGTCCTGTTTCTGAAACCTTCATCTCTGTGAAGCAGTCTCTACAAGGAAATATTTCCCAATTTTACTGCATTGTACTTCTCCTATTGCATCAGCTCTGTAAGAGAACCAGACAGCTTGCACATCATGAACTATATGTTTTTGGACAGTCCCATATTTTACACAAGAACATACATTACACAAGAACCCAGGAGAGATAGCCTCTCTGGATTTACAGACACAGCCACCAGGATCTCTAGATTAATCCCTCACCAGCCTGAGATTAGAGATCCAGAATCTCAGTTGGCATGTGGATTTTACACTTCCACAACTCTGTCTAGAGCTGTACAGTTAATCTTAGCAAGGTAGCATAATTGGTGAGTGGTTTAAACAACAGGACGTAGCTTGGAGTCAGTTACACATCAAGCAGACACTATTTATAAACAAGAATACAGTTTATTCAGTACAGGCTTGCAATCAGACTAGAAGAATTCAAAAGAACAACCTAAGTAATGTTTTGCCTTACTACACAATAATAAGCATATTTACCAAGTCAGGAACAAGTATCAGTCCAGAATAGTCCCAAGGGATTTGGAACAAGAAGTCCATCTTTGGAAGCATGCAGCCATGTGCTCAGCTGCACAAAAGAGTTCTTTGTTCTGCCTCAGACCACATGGCAGGACAAGAGCATTTCAGTGTCCATCCCAAATCTTACAACCAGGAACAGAACAGAGCGAGAGAGCTTCTCTCATTGGGTTTAAACAGATATAGGGCAATTCCAGTTTTCAAATTAGCTCTGGCCAGGAGCCAATTGAAGTAGACAGGGGGTGTCCAACTTTTGGGTTGTCATGGCTACAACTTCTGCCTACTAGAAGTGTGAAGACTATGTGGTTATATGGCAGGCTATTGAGCCTCTCTGACCAAATGGTCAGCCATCTGGCTTGTAACAGGAAACAAGGTATCAGAAAGACATTTCAGGGAAGACATGAAGCCTATAGAAAGCAATATTTCTATACAGATGGTACAACTCAAAGGAAGCATGATTAAAAATATTTAAGCCAATTTGCTCATACTTTACATTATATGAAATATAAGCTTCTTAGTATGTGTGTCTTATATTTATTTGCCTGCTTTGCTGTTTTTATCCTTTGAGAAGAAACAAGCACAAGATAGCTTTGCCTTGCCAGTAATACTGTATATTCACAGCACCATACTAAGCAAAATAACACCCTTCTAAGAATATTAACTTCAATGGACTTAGGAGGGTAGTGAAACTCTGCTTAGGGGTGGTGTAAATCTCAACCTTTTTATAGACTTCAAAACAGCATCAGGGGCACAAATTCAATTAGGGCCACAGTGCAGGAGAAGTTAACCCATGATCAAAATTATAAAAAACTCAAAATTCCCTCTCACCTGCTATTAGCAGCAGGGCAGGGGAGATGACAGGTAGGTACAATCTTGATTTGGTATACTGTGGATGGAAATTAAGTTAGATGACTTCCCTTTAGATGAATATCTGCATTGGATCTATATATGTTTTAAATGATCCAGGAAGATCTATATGGCTGTAATTTGTGAGTGCTTCTATTTTTATCTGATCAAGATTCTGTACATTCATAGTGTTGTGAAGAATTTGTAAAAAGTAAAGACTTCGTGAAGACTAACAGTGCAGTCTTTACAAATACTTTCCTGGGAGTACACCCCATTAAATAGGACTGCTTAGTATTGTTCTCTTAAGTCTTCCTGGTGATTTAAATTCTCATCCAATATTCCTAAAAATAAACCTACAGTGATTTTTCACAATTTTCATAATTTTTCACTTTTAATCTCCATCCCCAACTATAAAAGGAATCCAGCAACTTCCCTACTATTGCATAAACATTTATGCTGCATTTCAGCAGTGGAAAAGAGGTTCATAGTGCTTCAATACAAAATGCAATAGGGTCAGACCTGCCCATAGTGTGCTGGTGACCTGGTCTCCAGTCGCAAGACCTCTAATAAAGGGCCTTTGGGCAACTTCTTTCCCCCAGGGGGTATCTGCAGTATACTGTCTCTCTGTGTGTACTTGGTATGGTCACATCTATCTATTTAAAGTTGGATTTATGTATTTATTTGTTTGCATGATAAGAAACAAGGAGAGGTCAGCAAATCAGCAAGTGCTGACAGCACAACAGAAGGCACTCCAACAGATGGCTTCACTGTCCTGTCTACTAAAAGTCTATTCCTTGGGCAGAAGGTAGGTTTGAGCATATGATTTAAAGTATTCTTATGTTCAGTGTTCCTTGGGAGATACTTTCGTGCCTCCATACTTTAATTGAAGTGCACCTGTCTTTGAAATTCTTCTCCATATGCCATACTGAGCACATCTAGAGAACATAAGAACATAAGAACATAAGAACATAAGAGACGCCAATGTTGGATCAGGCCAAAGGCCCATCCAGTCCAACACTCTGTGTCACACAGTGGCCAGAAATACCAGTGCCATCAGGAGGTCCAGCAGTGGGGCCAGGACATTAGAAGCCCTCCCACTGTTGACCCCCCCCCCAAGCACCAAGAAGACAGAGCATCACTTGCCCCAGAGCCCCTAGCTATACCTTGTGGCTAATAGCCACTGATGGACCTCTGCTCCATATGCTTATCTAATTCCCTTTTGAAGCCGTCCATGCTTGTAGCACCCACCACTTCCTGTGGCAGTGAATTCCATGTGTTAATCACTCTTTGGGTGAAGAAGTACTTCCTTTTATCCGTTCTAACCCGACCGCTCTGCAGTTTCATGGAGTGCCCACGAGTTCTTGTATTGTGAGAAAGGGAGAAAAGTACCTCTTTCTTTACCTGCTCTTTCCCATGCATAATCTTATAAACCTCGATCATGTCACCCCTCAGTCGTCTTTTCTCCAAGCTAAAGAGCCCTAAGCGCTTTAACCTTTCCTCATAGGGAAAGTGTTCCAACCCTTTTATCATTCGAGTTGCCCTTTTCTGCACTTTTTCCAAAGCTATAATATCCTTTTTAAGGTGTGGTGACCAGAACTGCACACAGTATTCCAAATGAGGTCTCACCATTGATTTATATAGGGGCATTATTATATTGGCTGATCTGTTTTCAATACCCTTCCTAATAATCCCCAGCATAGCATTGGCCTTCTTTATTGCAGTCACACACTGTCTCGACATTTTCAGTGAGTTATCCACTACAACTCCAAGATCTCTCTCTTGCTCAGTCTCTGCCAGTTCAGACCCCATCAATGTGTATTTATATTTAGGATTTTTGGCTCCAATGTGCATCACCTTGCACTTGGCCACATTGAACCCCATTTGCCATGTTGACGCCCACTCGCCCATCCTTGACAGATCCCCTTGGAGTGCCTCACAATCCTCACTGGTTTTCACCACCCTGAACAACTTTGTATCATCCGCAAATTTAGCCACTTCACTGCTTACTCCCATCTCCAAATCATTAATGAACAAGTTAAAAAGCAGTGGACCAAGTACTGATCCCTGCGGTACCCCACTGCTTACCACCCTCCACTGAGAAAATTGCCCACCTACACTCACTCTCTGTTTTCTATGAACTAGCCAGTTTTTGATCCATAAAAGGACTTGTCCTTCTATCCCATGATTTTTGAGCTTACTTAGGAGCCTTTGATGAGGAACTTTATCAAAAGCTTTCTGGAAGTCAAGGTAAATAATATCTATTGGATCCCCCTTGTCCACATGTTTGTTCACCCCCTCAAACATCTCCTTGGCCATTAAGCAATTATTTTCTCTCTAGATATGTAATTATTATCTTACAGAATTCCATCAGCACAAAGCACACAAGTCCCTGTCCTCAAGAAGCTTACAGTCTAAAATAAACAGCAGCAAAACAAGAGAGAGAGAGAAGGGGGTGGGCAAGGAATGGATGTGGGCAGAGAGTTTACCCATACTTTAAATTTGGTTACAGTTGGAAATGAAGATTAAGGGAAAAGGAAGGTTTGGAGAGGAATTTATTGGTGAAGAGAGAGCTGGTATGACATACATGTTCAGGGAGCCAAGTATGCAGGGCGCCAAGGGGGAATGGGCAAAATTATGATGGAGAGCAAGAGGTCTTCAAGTAATGGGTGGTGGTGGAGTAGGGGGGAGTGTATCACAGACAGGTATATAACAGGAAATAAAGTACTAAACTTAATATGGGCCCAGAATGCACTGCAGTAGAAAATCAGCAGAAAGGTTGTTTTAGCTCTTATTCCTTTACCTGTTCTCCCTGGACATTCTTCCATACACACTCTTGCCCTTTGAGACAAGTATGAGATTGGAAATAATTCTGTTGGATTGGGTAGGAAGGTGGAAGGAAGATTTGCAAGGAAGAATCAGTAGGAGAGAAAAGCCCCTCCCCTTTTTTTGTTCACTGGTTTCATATCCTTATCCTTGCATTCATATTATAAGATAAATATGTTTCTGGGAACATGTGGTTCAGATCTCATTGCATGAGCAAAGAAGCATTATATAGGGAAAATATTTAAAATTGGGGTGTAAAACATTGAATTATATACATTTTAAATAATTCTTTTTGTTTTCTCAGTGTGTCTGTTTTCTTTGGTTAATTCATATTGATTTCACATTGTTGGGAAAAGGAGTTGTTATGCATACATTTTATATTCAAGAGTCGTATTTTCTTTTGGGATAGAGAAGGCTTGAATATATGTACTAGAAAAACATTTGTTTTAATGTTTTGTTATTAGTGGCCTTAAAAATGCATATTATTAATATTCCATCTGTCGTATTCTGCTGATGTGAAGATGATCCAAACATGTTGTCACCATACATCCACTAAATATTGAAAACTATATTTGGTTCTAGTTCTTGTTAGAAGTAACATGCTGATGTAACATGCTAAAGATATATGAAGAAACACAACATGGACTTGTGTTCTTGCACAGTAGCTCCCCATGCTACTGGCAAATCCCTTTTGAAACTGAGGGGGCTTTCAGAATGGATTGCAATATGGCATGAAGGCCTGCCTTTCTAAAACAAAAAACAACATTGGATGCCTAAAGTAGCTCTTTGGATCCTGACCCATATGTATTAGATTGAATAGATGTCTGAATTGACTGAAAATGAGTGGCTTCTTACATACTTTCAGCTTAATAGAATGCATTTCAGTATTTTTATCTGGATGCTTAACCTAATTTTATGCTGGATGGAATTAAAATTATCTGTTCAGCAGTAAAGCCAAGGGATACAATGTTAAGGCTCGGACTTGTTGTGACTTACCAATGCCTTGACATGTGGCAAAATAATCACAGATGCACTTAATATGTCTATTGGTATTGATATTATTTTTCCTACATGGAAGTGAACTCTTCCATGCTGAATTTGAAGCAGCTCTAATCTCAGGCCTTTTAACTCCCTTATTATCCTTTGTGTTACTGACACATTGGTGCCTCACCTCTAATTGCTCCCTCCAGGTGCTGATAAGAGGCACAGGGGTAAGAGGTTTACAGCTGCTTTTAAATGTGCAGAGAGAACCATGCAGCTTGTCTTTACTAACTTGTTTTAAGTGTCTCCACAATAATGGGTTTTTTAAAAAATGAATTTTTGACACTTAAAAGTGACCATATTGCCTACTAGCAAACTTTCATGGCCACAATCAGACATGCAGCGTTTCATTGTCCCTTTCTGAGAGCAGGGATGTGCTCCATTTTGCCATGAGGATTTTTTGTGCAATCATAGAGCAGAAATAAGCCCTTGCATTTGCTAGCAGCACTGTTCACGTGTTCACTGGTGCATGAGCAGCATAGTATTGTGTTATGTGCATCCAAACTCATAGGGGTATAGGATCCACAAGGAAAAAAACTGCACTCATGCATTTCAGTTCTGTGTACAAGTTGCTTAAATAGATGCAAGTATGGACTGGTATGACTAGACAGCAAAAGAATGGGGGAGGGACTGGTTCAGATGTAGTTTGGATCATCTCTTAACTGAATCAGAAGTGGCCTATTGCAGTAGTGGTCACACAATATTATCCACATGTCCTTTCCACTGTAGGCAAATCTGCCCCACTTACCTTGATCATGACTAAATGTTGTATCAAGACTGAACTTAAAAGTGATGCCGATGTACTCAGGTTCCTTACTTTGTATAACCTGATCAAGCAGGAACCTTAACTGCTAATTATACATTATACACAAGTACTTTTGTGATGCTTTTTAATATAGATGACAAGCATTATAGGAGAAGGGAAGAAGCAATGGGGAAGGGTACTCAACCCTTTCTCTATCAGGTCCTCCAGCAGTAATTCTCCAAATAGCAAGGTAGTAGGGCAACTGCAGAAGGAAACTTTGGCTTCCAGGTCCTGCTTGTAGGCCTTCTGGGGGCATTGGATTAGCTACTGTGTGAAAGAGGATGCTGGACTAGATGGAACTTTGGTCTCATCCAGCATACCTACTCTTATTTTCTTCTTTTTCACTGCTCCAGATATTTTTCCCCAAATGGATTTTCTCCCCACCAGATTCCAGCCATTTGTCTGCAAGAGTCACTATGTACCTGCAACCCCACAGTGCAGAACAACTTCGGAGAGTTTATTTGGAATTAAAAAATGATAAGCAGGGAACATATTTTCCTCTCACTTCCCTGAAGCATCTGCACTCCATCACCATCCTGGACTGGCTTCTCATTTTAAAAAAAGAAATGGTATAAGGGCTTTCTTACAGACATTTGTCTGTAAGCATGTAGTTAGCACCCAAGACATTTAAGATACATAAGGAAAGCAATGGGGAGAACGCATGAAATTCTATGTCCCACTACCTGTATCTTATCACTGTTATGAAATCCATACATGGCCATGTGTTGCAGACAGAATTAATATTACATGAACCACAATGGTCTACACTTGCTAAGTTCTCCCACAGAATACTGGCAGTTGTAGGACACAGAAAACAAAGAGGATGATTAACATTTGGGATTTACATTTTCTCAGATGTGTATAGTCATGAGTCCCTCCATGAGTGTATTTTCTTTAGTGTCAGTTGGACCTTATTGTTTGTTTGTTTGTTTGCTTTTTGTTTGGGGACATTAGTTCCTTGTAGTCAAACACATGGCTCAAACCATTTTGTTACAAAAAAGCCCAAAACAACACTTGAGGTGCACAAAATAATTGCCATGCTCAAGAAGATGTTTAACAGCCGATGTTCACAGTTCATTCAGATCAACATATACGCCCATGTTCTTTGTTGTGAGTGTTAAGGAAGCACTAAAATGATTTTTTGCATATTTCTGGTTTTCAAACCAGCCCTCTCTGATCTCATCTCTGCACAGCTCCCTTCATTTCAGTGAAAGCTGTGCTTCTAACTTTGAGGACTGAGCTACTTTCTTGATGCTTTGTTTTCCTTTATAAAAACTGCTATTTGTCCTTACCCCCCTTTTCATGTTATTTAATTAAATACTTGGTTGTATCTAGCAATGTGTGAGATAAAGACATTGACAGTTGCAGATCTTTCGCATGTTCCCCTCCCCATTTATAATCCCAGAAAAATTTATTCCTAAATTCATTGGACCCACATGATCTAATAGTCATGTGGATTGGAAGGCTGGAGAGGAAAGGCCCTTTGTTCTGAAAGTGGAGCTCCACTGACAAAAGGGAGCAATTTTCCACCTCACCACTGCAGCCTCCTGTGTGACAATTACTCCATCTAGGTCCTGCAGACCTGGGAATAAGTTTTCCTGGTGTCAGAAAGGACTGTTGGGGGGGGGGGGGGAAGAAAGCCAGGAAGACCCATGGTCTTTGTGTTGGAACCAACTCACCGTCAAAATAACCAGTAAAACAAAAATTACCTGGCCGTGGCACCAATCCAGAGAAAGTCTATCACAATAACATTACATTCAAAAAGTTTTAGATTCATATTTTGTGATTAACCTTAGTTCCAATGCTTTCAATTGAGTTTCTCTAGACTTGGGCATGTTTTTGCAAATGTTCTTGAGATGGTTCTTATACATGGTAATACAAGGGTGGAAACATTTTGTGTAGCTGTGTGTCAGTTTCACACATTATTACACATTGAGCTTTGTCACACAAAGGAAATGAAAGTACCATGTACCAGATTCAGTTACTGTCACTGACAGAAGTAATTCAGAAATGTAGTAATTTCATTTGAACTTTGTCATTCAGACCAGTAAGGGGGAGAGCACATTTCCCAACAGAGTTTATATGCGTATAAATGCATTTAAACAAAAACATCAGCAAACAAAACGGTTCAGTATAAACACATCAGATGTACATATGTTGTACAGTAGCCACCTGTGACCAGCCATAACAGGAAGCAATAGTATGTATACTAGAGACCAAATAGCCCATTCATCCTTATCAGGTACAAAACCGTGATAAGCTAAAACTTCAGCTTAACAAATGTTTCTTTACAGAATCATGTTTGAGTCTTGTGTTTGCAATGTAATTCTGTTTGGTTTGTCCTTTTACCAATAACTTCCTTTATGACCCACCATTTATTTTGCACATTTTTTTTGCAGTGATGCTATCCCCATCTGCGTTGCAAATCTTTCTTTTCTGCAGCTTCTCTGTGTGATTTTCCCAACTGTCCTGTTGTTATTTCCCACCTCATGCTTTTCTTTTCAGCTGAACCTTATTCACAGTGAAATCAGTAATTTAGCCGGCTTCGAAGTGGAGGCCATTATCAATCCCACCAATGCTGACATTGACCTTAAAGATGATCTAGGTAAATGGGGATTGGGCTGTTGCAACTAACAGTCACACAAAAATTATGGAATTCGTGTGTAATTTCAAGTTTCATAATTCCTGAAAGCATATTATGGGACAATTGTACATGTCCAAATTTCCATACGTTATAGTTGCACATTGACTATCATGAAATTAATTTCAGAGTCACTGAAATATTTTTCCATAATAATCAAATGTGACTGTTAGTTCTTCATTGGGGGGATGTTTCTTTTGGATTCTTGGAGAACATACACATATATATCTATATGTATATAGATAATCATCAAGTTGTTTTCAAAATAAGCAGTTTCTCCATTCTGGAACACATTTCTGTTTTCATTGACATTAAAGTAGTCATAGAGATTCATAAAGATAGGCCATAAGCTTGTAGATACCCCCCAGCCCTTCCATCTTTTCAAGTGTAATTAAATCAGCTTCCTGTTCAGTT